AGATATTAATCACAGGCTTGATTTGCAGTCTGGCCTTTATATTTCATTGAATCAAATACCCACCTGTCCCTACCATAATGTATTTTGTTCTTTTTATTTACTACATCTAAAGGTCTTGAAACTTTCTCTCCATCCTCCAGCTGGTAGCTACACAGAGATACCCTTCGCTCTATCAGCTGGCCCACTGTGACAGCAATATCCATGACTCAGTTTTCATACTTTTGGGGTATGACCTACTGACTGTCAGTTCTGGCTTTGGAGATGATTTGGAAGAAGAAATCACTTAAGAAAGAACACCTGGTAAATTTCTTTTTTTTTTTTTAATTTTTATTTTTGTCATAGAACAAAAATTTTTTGTCTGAGAGACACATGGCAGGTACATCAAGAGGAGAATTTCCAAGTTTTTCTGAGCTCTCCCTTTAGTTTGGGAGGCTACTGAGATATTGGAGTGTGGGGGAGGAGGGGGCAGAATCCATCTGCGCATGCGTGAACCCACTGCTTCAAGTGTAACAGCTGTGCTGCTCTTAATGCTCATATGACTGTTAAGACAGCTCACTTTCCTGTGACAATAAGGAACCAGTTTCAGGTTTCTTGGTTTTGTGGTCAAGTTAGATCTTACAGACCATTCTGGGGGAAGTACTACAGCAAATACAGACTTATGTCTTCTTTGAAAGGTTTACTATTTTATTACATAATAAAAGAGCTCCACTTCTGACTCATCGTATTGTTTTATTTCCCCTAATATGTAAATGAAACCACAGAGTTGTTTTGACTGGAGCTGGTTATTACATCCCTAGATAACCCATCAGCAACTGGCAGCTTTGCTGAACTAAAGCTGAAGATATGTAAATTAGTGACTGCGTACTCCACCTCTGGCTGCTCTCAGAAGGAAACAGTGATGTCTTTAACATAACAAAATTCTTTGTATTTCAAAACAGACATATTGAAAACTAGAACTGGGGAAACTGTGAATTCACAAGAAAGAAGTCACTATTTTGAAATAACATGCAGTGCCCTGCAGTGGCAGGTAGTCCAAAATGGCCAGCTTTAGTCTGTAAAGTTATTTTATCTTGTGGTGAGTGAGAAGGTGTATGTGAGCAGCACAAACCTGACTGTGTTGCTGGAGGAATTTGCAGTGAATACTCAAAGTAATTTCAGGGGACAGAGGAGGTTGTGACTCCCACAAATTAGCTGGAGCAGGAGGAGTATTGGAGCTGTCATGCACCCTGTGATGAAGAATGACATCGGACAGCACATCCAGCCAGCATTGCTGTCTGCTTATGTAGAACCTCTTTAGACTTCTGACAATCATATTTTTTTTTAATTTTTTTATACGCTTCAGTTTTATTGGGCTTGATAACCTCTTCTTAAGGAGAATACTTCCTTTATTTTCTGAGAGAGATCACAGAATGAAAACTGCCAACTTTTCCTGAAACACAAATTTCCAAGAAAGATAAAATGAATCCTAAAAATTGCCGTTTCACTTTGTCATGTGGTTGTTTCCATTGTGGGATACAGACCCATATTCCATGAAAAGCATGGAATACTCTGCACCATTAAGATGGCCAGTAAATGAAAGATGGAGGGAAATCGTTCCCATTCCACCACCACCACTCGAATCCATCAAGACAACTTACTGAATAGCTGATGTTTTCCTAATGATTATAAGATGACTTTATCCTGATTCCAAAGAAATCTGTCTGTATGGACATTTAAGCTCCCCAAAGCTTCCCAAATCTGAACTGATTTGAACACATTTTAGCATCTTTTTACTTTTTATATGGCACAAACATTTATAAAGAACAGGGTCACCACAGATGCTAGTACATACACCCTGCTGATGGTCAGTAGAAACTTGCAAAACACAACAACCAGAGCATCACAGGAAGCTTAAGCTTCCTAATGGGATATTACCTATCCCTGTGCCCTATACATGTGCTTTGATCAGTGAACAATGCCAGTGAAATCCTACAGGGACTTAGGTCGGATTCTCAGCCTGTGGGACTCATGCTGGCACAGCTCTGCAGTACCACTGTCTGTTCATCTCATGCAAGACTGTTTTTTTGTTGTTGTTTGTTTGTTTCTTTGTTTCTTTTCCTTTTCTGTAAAAGGCAGTTTCTGCCAGCTGATTTGACCTCAGAGGAAGATTCGTAATAAGCAAGTAGCTATGTCAAGGGGAGGCAGTAGCTCCAGCTAGGCTGGCTTTCATCATGACTGAGGTCAACAGAAACTTGAACTTCTGTGCCAAGCCTGGGTAGGAGGTAGTCTCTGATCTGAAGCTTGTAGTAAAGGTCAAAGGCTGCCAGATGTTACTGGCAGTGCCTTGTGCCATCCTGGGGTTCCTGTTACATCTCTGCTGCAGGAACCCTCCCACACAGTCGTGGGGCTGAGCTACCAAACAAAAGGCACAGAAGGAGTTGCCAGCAGGCACTGTAGTTTCATACTGTATGAACAGTGCTTTCTCCTATAAGGAGAACCATTTATTACAATTTCTTAAGTTGAAGTAAAGAGGATTTATTTAAGTTTTGACCAGGATCCCCTTTTCAATAATTAATCTTTTTTTTTTTTTTTAAGAGATGTGGCTTTAATTTTTCCTTTCTAAATGCAGATGTGCTGAAATAATTTGTGAAGAGCATTAAACTTATTTGCCTACTGCTGGTTTTCAGTGAAATATATGAAATAGATTTATTATATTTTTATATTAAATGTGAAATGGAGTTGAAGATCCTCTAGGACAAACACTTGTGGTTAAGTATTTGAAAAAATGAAGCAATGTACATAACTGTATGCAGTTGTATATAGGTTATGTACCATTGCCTTGTCTATATTGCTTATTTTTTTTGTGTGCCACTAACGGAAATATACCTGTGTTCTTTCTACTACATTTCTGAGTTGCTTGCAAGCAATCCTAAGGAAAAACTTGAGCAATTAACTGTAAGGAAAGGGCAGTGTAAATGTATCTCCCCATCATGAAATGGTAATTATAGTATCGTCACAAGGTAAATTCATGACTGCTAAAGATTTTAATTCTGATTCTTTTCTCAAATGCTTGGCTGTGCACCATCACCTGCTGTCTAGCAGTTGTGAATAAACTTTGCCATCAGTTATTTGTAACTCTGTAACAGATCAGAAAGTTCCTGTTTTCTTAAAACAACATGCTTTGTTGCAGAGTTGACTTCTATAGAAAGCTGTGTGGTGACTGTAGGAATGTGGCTGTCTCATACCCCATTCTGTGTCTGTGGTGTTTCTGCCAGCTGGTTCATGGAGCGGTGCCAGGCTGACCACAACCTACAATGTGCCTTGAAGTTCCCTGTGGATTGTGGACCAATGTGTTCTTCCATGAGGATGCTTATAGTTAAGTCCTATGTCCTCTAAATTCAGCTGGTTGAACACATACACACAAAAGCAGAAGGCAGCATTTCTCATGCTAAGGATAATATTTGATCGATGCTGTTTTACTGCAAAATTTCTATCTCATCCGATCTATCTACACCATTAAGTCAGCTATACTGGACTGCAGTCTGTACTGAAAGGGTGTTTTTGCTGGACTGTGTAAACATGATAGATATCTTGTTTATTTTAGGCAAACAACAGTTCCTTTGTCAAAGGGATTTATTGTTAGGATTATCAGACTAAAGTTCTCTGAACTGATTTTCATTCTCAGATGTTAATGTATAGGTGGAGGGAATTGACACAACATCTAAAACTGATATTCTTATTACATATTCACACAAGCATTGCATAGGAATAGTAATGATTAACTTTTGAGGTGTGTGTGTGACACCTGACCACAGAAGAGATTCTGCAATGCAGGGCTTTCTCCCGCTGTTTCTCATTGGAGTTAGAAATTCCATAACTAATTGGCAGATAGCACAGCGTTGGCTCACCGTATTAGAGGAGTTTACATTTTGGAATATCATAAATGCAAGCAAGCTCTTTGCTCAGTCATCTGAAGTAAGACAAACAATAAATACTAGGTGTAGTGTTTTCTCATGGTGTTTCCTTACACTAGCTGTTACCACGGAAAGGAAGTAATGTTGTTTGTGGCTGGAACCCACATTTGTCTGACTTTCTAATGTTGGGGAAAGGTTTAGTGGAGGTAGGGTGCAACTCCACATTGCACTCGTTACGTCAATACCTGTTGTGTAACTTTATTTAGCTTTGCACAGAGGAATTGAATTTGCATTTTGAGTGCTCTGAGGAGCATACTAGGGGATTTTGCCTATGGAAAGATGCAATATACAAAGCCAGTTAAAGCTGTAAGGTAAAAAATTGAGTGATACACTTTTAACTCAAAAGCTTTCAAGTTGAGTGGATTTTGGCAGCCCGTGAATCTTTGTTCTGCAACTCTGTACTGTGGGGTTGGAGGCTGAATCTAATTTGCACCCTTCTATTTCTTCTCTAGCCCACAGAGTGAAGACTGTCCCTCAAAACTCCCATGGTTAAGCTGCAGGGCAGCACAGAGTTAGGAAGTGATAAGGAGTGTCAACAGTGTGTGATAGCTGCAGGGATTCTTTGCTAAACGAGATAACATCCCCTTCTCCCTGTAACCTAGAAAGTTCTGGTTTCATTAACCTTATGCTTTCTGCCTCATGACAAGAGCAGAACCTAGTAGAGATTATCCTCTTTGGGATCTGGGGGAGATGGGCACAGCCACTTCTGTTCACTAGGTTAGATTCTAAATGGTCTGCCTTTCAAATACAGGAATGAATGAGCTCTTGTATGTGCAAATAGCAGTCAGCTGTAACATGAATTGAGTATTGATAGCCCACAGGTGCAACTTGGAAGAGCCCTCTGTACATGATCACCAAAAAAAAAAAGGCATTGGATTACATTTTTGACCAAAAAAAGGCTTAGTACAAATCCATCGACACTTTAAATATAACACATTTTCTTTCCTTTTTTCTACCTATGTCTTCTCAAGCAGCTTTAAAAAATCTTATTCCTGTTCAAGTCCAGGAATTTACTAATATTGTCCAACTGTTTCATCTGTGTAACAGACACTTTTTCTATGGACCTGTTGTGATGCATTTACTCAGGATGATGTCAGAACCAAGGGAGGAGCAAGAGAACACAATTTCCAATATGAGCAACTCCAGGCACATCCTCATACTCCATGGTATGATGGTAAGCAGAAAAAAAAATGTTGTCACTCCATGAAAGAAGTTTCATCATTCTTTTGGGAAAGTACTCTGTGGAAGTTCCCTCACACAAAGCTTTCTCCTCACCTTGACACTTAAATTGTTTGCTGAATTAGTTATTGACCAACCAGTAGTCTGCCCTGAATAAGGAACTGTAGGTAGGTTCACACCCAGAATCTCAAAAGACACCCCATAATGGCATGGAAACTTATGTGTCTGCTTCTGCTTTGCTTTGCTCAAAAAGAAATATAAACAGTCACCTCCTCTCCTGACTTCCTTTCTTTGTGTCCCAGTCCAATTACGTTGCTGCAGGCAACAAGAACTGAAGGACAGTGAGCTCACTCTCTGCTACCCACCCTTCTGAACCTGTATAGCTCACCCTGTGAGACCTGCTCCTCGGATGAAGCTACTTGATCTTCATGTCTTCACACTCCTAGTTTCTACCTTGCATCTGAACACTTGGGACTTTACAAACTGGCTGAGTGGTCATCTTATTAGCACATTGTTTGATGTTATATTGCCTGAAAATGAGAACAGTATCAATAACAACACTGGGGTGTGTGACAAGTTCTGTTAGTCCCACTGCTGTTAAGGCTCAAGACAAGGCATTACAGTGTGCTTTGATGTGTGTTGTGTCATACATAGTCACAAAGACACGGGACACTGCAACGGAACTATCCTCTTGTTTTTTTTTTCTGCCAGTGTCTGAGTTCAGCTAGGTGGCCAGATTTTTCAAGGTTGAAATCAGAAATAAAAGGCTGTATTTCTCAGAATTCTTAGAAGCAATACTTAAAGTATTACAGTCTTTGTAATCTGGGACCCCCAACAGAAGAAGGACATGAATTCAGTGGAGTGGGTCCAGAGGAAGGCGATGTAGATGATCAGAGGGCTGGAGCGCCTCTCCTGTGAAGACAGCCTGAGGGAGTCGGGGTTGTTCAGCTTGGAGAAGAGAAGGCTCTGAGGAGACTTTAAGGCAGCCTTCCAGTGCCTAAAGGGGGCCTGCAGGAAAGCTGGAGATGTAATTTATCAGGGAGCCTGGTGATAGAACAAGGGGTAAAATCTTAAAAATAGAAGAGGGTAGACAGAGGTTAGATATAAGGAGGAAATTCTTTACTCTGAGGGTGGTGAGGCCCTGGCACAGGTTGACCAGAGAAGCTGTGGATGCCCCATGCCTGGAGTTGTTCAAGGCCAGGCTGGATGGGGCTTTGAGCAACCTGATCTAGCAGGAGGAGTCCCTGCACATGGCAGAGGGTTGAGAATTTGATGATTTTGAGGTCCCTTCCAACCCAAACCATTCTATGATTCTTTTGTTTCTTTATTGCCAGTCATACTTCTATTATTTCTAGCATTTGTATATGTGACTGTTAAATACAATTCTAGCTGGCATATGGATCAGTCAGCAACTAGTACAAAATGACTCTTTAGGACCAGTGTGTGCTTGTTGTTAACAAACCTAGAAGTCTTCCCTGCAAAAGAGGAATCACAGAAAAAGAGTCTGTGTTCCCTGCTACTGTTTGAGACAGGATATTGGGCTCAACTGGCTTTTGGCCTGATCTGGAGAAAGGCATTCTCATACTTTGCTTCCTATTCTATTTTTTATTTGCTTAGTTATAAACCTAAGGAGAGATGAGAACTGTTAAGTATGAAATTGTATAGGAAAGCAGGTAAATTAGATTTGGAAAGACTTGCCAGTGAATTGGAATAGTTTCTGGCTGGAGAATCATCTGCAGTAGCATGGTGCTTTGCCATAAAATACTTAATCTAAAGTCTTGTATAATGACCTTTGCTGTACCAAAGCACGTATTTCTTGAGATGGGGTTTTTGGCTGCAAAACACCACACTGGAAAAACCTTCAAGAAGAGAAATTTGGAGATACTAAGGCCTATCTGCCGGAATGGACTAGCAGATAGATCACCTTTTTCTGCCTGCTCTATTAGCAGTTTCTCAGCAGCTACTAATTACAGCCGTTCAGGCTGTGATTGTTGTTTCATTAATTAGATACCACATGTTGTTTGCTTCTCTTTGCTGCCCATCTTGACTAGCCTTTGACTGTGAGTGCAATCAAGCATTTCCAAGGTAAATGGTACATGATCAGCGGCCATGCGACAAAGATAAAAATTGTCCTAGGGATTGTGCCTGTAGTATCAAACAAGCAAATCTTGATTCAGCAGTGTAAAGATCCCATGTTCAAGTTTTTTACTTGGATCAAAACTTGCTGCAAATATATAAAGTGTATTAGAAAAACAAACAAACAAAAAAAAACATTTAAACACAGGAATATATGTTGTACTGTGCTTTTATATTTCGGGATTTGTTCATTTGGCAAGTTAAACGGTACCATTGAAATCAACATATGCTTTTCTTCTCATTGTGTTTTACTGCCGTAGAGGTGGTGGTATCAGTGAAAAGGATGAGTTAGTTATAGAAATGTTGCATGATACAACACAATCTATAGGCAGGTTACCAGAGTAACTTCCACAGGATCTGAAACTGAGACAGAGACCAAGACTGCAGTTGTGTCCATATGGGCTCAAAAAGCCTGTCATTTCTGCATTCCCCAATCACAAAAACTGTTCTTGAGGGTTTTCTCAGTTTTGAAAAATAAGAAAACTGTCTTTCTTCCTTCTTGGATATGGCTTTCTTTTCCCCTAAAGAAGCTGGTCATAATCAGCTGCAAACTGTTTCTGTGAGTACCAGGCTGTACTATAAATCTGTAAGTTAGCTTTCCTGTAGCATAATTATTCATTGTGATGCTTATAACATAGCAGTTTTACGTGCTTGCCTTCATGCCAAAGTAGCTACTACTTTAAAATACAAAGGAAGCTGAAGATTGTATAAGCTATGTGCAGATGAGGTAATGAATGTTTGGGCAGAATCTGAACTGAAAGCAGCAGGTCCTTCAGCGTGCAACAGGGAAAAAGCCCAGAGCAGCTGACTGGAACCAGCAGCTGAATCACTTGCACCCAGTACAAAATTGCCATTCATTTGGCATGAACAGAAACATTTTCCTGGTCAGGAATGGAGATGGCAAATACTCAGGTCAGGGACCACACAGAAACACAACTCGAATCATCGATATTAAACCATTCTTCTTACAGCTGGCATATAGGTGCTCACACCTCCCCTTGTTTCTTGAACAAGAATCCTTCTGCAAAGACCTCAGTCAGAAATGTTCCATGGCAAGAAATTGAGTTGCTGTGGTCAAGTATGAAACAATCTAAATCCTATTACGCTTGGACAGTTGATATGTCAGCACAGCTGGGAATGGCAGAGACAAAACAGATTTTAAAAAGATAAGATCCCTTCTTATGTCTCTTTGCCTCTGTGCTTAATTACTTTGGCTGCAGACACCATTGCTGGAAGCAAAGGCAACTTTTAAAAGATTTCTCCCCCCTTTCAAATAAAAACAAGATTAATGTGTTAGCTGATTCATATCATAAACATTCAGACAATGACTGTTCAGTTTCAAAATTAACAAAGAAAGCTGATACTGTTGAGAACAGAAAAAATAAATACAGATTTCCTGGTTTATGGTTACAAATAAAAGCACTGTAATAAAGGACAAATTTTCATGGATAATTAAAAAGGAGAAAAAATATTACAAAATTATAGTACAGCACAGGACTACAGAAAGTGTGTTTCTGTACTGAAAGAAATGGCATTGACAACATTATTTTTTGAGGTTCTGTATTTTTTATTTACAAAGAAATACATTGACAATTGTTGAAATATTTGTAGTCTCCCTGTTAGAGTTCAGATCTACTCTAAACACCTTTTTAATGGACAAAGATGAACAGAAATTCTGTTGTGTACTTCCATATTGAACTCATGCATTGCTGGACTCCCTACTGGTTTGCTGCATGACTAACTACATAATACTAATTATGCAAAGAAAAGAGAATAGATTAGCTTTCTGTCCTTGAAATTCCGTGATGTATGACTCAAGACGGTATTGAAAACCTGGGTTTCATATTTCTTCAAATTTTCCAGTGGAATTTCAAATCTCTGTTGAGAATTTTAGATTACTGTGGTGGACTTACTCTTTTAAGAGATCATTTAAAAGCATCTTAGACTGTGGGCCAGTTTGAAGAACCTCCATTCCATAGGATATATTAAAAAGGTCTAACGTGCATCCATTCCCTAAATGAGCCAAAACATAGCTATAGGTCTCCTGATCCACTCTTTGAGAAGCAAGGCAGCACACTTGGGTCTGATCGAGAACTATTTTAAAACAGTGGGTTTTTTTTTTCCTGTCCTCAAGTCCAGTGGTTCCTTCATCTTCCAGCCAAAGCCTGCACACATGCAGGAACCTTGGTCAGATTCAGAAATGTCTGAAGTAAATTTCTCTGTCTAAACATTGTAGATTTAGTATCCAAGAGGCTTTTTTTGTGAACACTGGACCAAAAGCTGTTTTCACTGAAGTCTAAGCTGAAGCACACGTTATATTAGAGGGAGAAGGATTAAACCTGTCCTATTTTTCTCTTTAAGCCTGGAACATTCATTTTTCCACTGTACAAACTGTGTAAGTTTGCATTAATTTAAATTTGTCTTCTATCTGGAAGGGAACATAAATTCAAAACATAAGGGCTTTTCTTCCAGCTTTCTTTTAAGAGTGTGCTGTGAAGGTCCAGGAACTACTCACAGATTGCCTTATCTTTTGCTGTTTATTAGCGTAAAACTCTGTAACTATTACATAGTTTTAATTACTCCTAGACTAGTACAAAACAACCTTATTATTTCTGTAATTATAGTATTAATACCTCTCACACTTCTACAGAAACTTATTTCTTAACATGACTAATCTTAATCTTAAAGCTAATCTTAAAGTTTAGATTTATATGATAACACATGAGATTGAATTCTGAGCTTTCTGAATTCTGCATTTTTTACTAAAATCACAGCTTCTGGCTGTTGTGATTCCAAAGAATATCTGAAGAGCATAACCTGGCTCCACCCTGAACACTAAAAACAATACCAGAAGAAGACAAAAAACCTTGTTTAAAAAATAACTTCTTGGAGTAGTTACATCTGGGAACTGAGGAAGGCCAGTGGGGTGGTAGCCCCTCCTAGCACCTTTTTTCCATTATCTGGTACGTAACAGAAGGGAGGATTTGCCAGTCCAGCAGTCCCACTCTTTTCTCTATTCTACTGTAATTGCTAGAAACCATCACATGTGAAGGCTCCTGAATTTTTAGCACTTTGGGTTGGTAATACTGTAGTCCCATTTATTGCAACATGACTTCAGTAAAACTAACATTCACAGAACTTACGGGAGCTAATGTCATATCACAAAACAACTACTGAAGTCATTTCAGAAATTTCCTTTGACTTTCAGAAGTTGAGGGATGCTTTACTGGTTCATTTGTGAAACATCTTTGCTTTCCAAATAGATCTTGTATGACCTCATTTGTTAACAGTCATAGGTGGTGTTGAAGCTCTTATTACATAATTTGAAATATATTTTCACAACCTTCAGGAACCTGGAATTTTCTGACAGATTATTAATGATGCAACAGGGTGCCTATTTCATAACAGGGCACTGAATCTTACTATGAACTCCTGGAATCCCTTAAAAGATAGGGCCATGTTCTCAGTTTGAGTATCTAGGCCTTAGCACAAAATAAATATATACATAATAATTACTAAGCAAAATAGCCACTTGTTGTGACTTCACTTTTCTTCAAGGTATATGCCTGAATACCTTAACCCATGTCCACCTTCCTCTCCAAAATAGCACTAAATGCTGATGAGAGAAGTATATTTCATAATGATTGTACTTTGTACTGACTTACATCCACTAAGAGTACAACTGAAATACTGTCGGTACAGTATTTCATACATAGAGGTCTGTATGCTCTGCTTATCAGAAGTCATAGGGCAGAAGTTAGCACAGTGCCAAGTCTGAGCTATATGCCCTCTTAAGAGGGGTTCAAGCCAGCTTGTGAAATACCACGTAAACATAGCCATAGTCAATACAGCTAGGCGCAAGAATAACTCCTCTGCTCTACTTTACTGTCCTCTCATTAGTGCCATGATAACAGCATGGTATCTGAGCAATGTGCTTGTATATAGCACACATTGTGTTCCCCAGAGAAGGGAGTGTGTGCATAGTAGCAGGGAAAGAAGGAGGGGTTTGTTTGCTCTTTATAGACAAGTGCATTTGGAGCAGAAGGCAATGATGTTTTCTGACTTCCTGGAATGTTTCATTCAAGTCTTGGGCCGTCTCTGTAGAAAGACCTGTTTTCTTCTTTTCCTCTGCCAAAAAGAAGCATCACCTTTATGTCCAGGTTTCTTACTATTAGGAAGGGCAAAGAATTTTTATCTGCTATCATCCTCCTGACACTTCAGACATTGTTTGAGATGTTCTAGTGCCAGTCCCACATAATGCTGACAACTTCCTCAAGGTTTTGCAATATACTGCCAAAAGGATGGAGAGGTTCAAAGTGCCTTTCATTACCTTTGGCAATTTTCCCTTTCCTCGAAAAATAGGAGGAACAGCACTGCTTTTTTTACTTTTTTTTTTTTCTTTCTTTTTTTTTTTTTTCCCCCAGCTCTTCCCCTTATCACGGCTGCAGATCACTTAGCTTGGCCTACACTAGCCAGTGCGAAAGCAGCAGTCCTTCATCTTGTGCTTCATGTGCAGCCTATAAGGCCTTTTGATATCACAAGGGCCATAAGGACATAACAAGCTTATACTGAATAAAAGGAGAACATCACATGCTGCTTACAGCTTATTATTTGTTTCATATTGTTACCTCTAAGACATCAAAGGCTGCTTTGCAAATCTCTGTGTGAAAATTAATTCTTAGGGCTGCTCAAATATAATAAAAAATAGTAAGCTGTACTTCAAATACTGTGCTATTAAACAGGTTAGTACTTAAGAATAGAATATTCCCTGTAATTCCACAAAAATTAAAGCATAATGAACCCTGAAATATAAAATACCTGCAAGGTGTTGTTATAACCAATATCTTTCTCTTTCAGCAGCATGCTTACCCTTTGCGTTTCTTTTCTACTGTGTTTCCATTTTGTTTAAAGTCACTCACTGAACACTTTGTCTTAAGTATGTGTTAAAAGCATGACATCACTTGCTGTACAGGTGTTCCTATCTATTAATAAATACCTGTTGTAATGATGTATAATTAAATAGATGTACTTCATTTGAGAAAACCAATTAATGTCTAAGAAAAGTAGATGAATTTTAAATGATTAATACAATTCCAAAACTGAGTGTAATTTCTCAGTAGATTCTTTGCTGACTGCATGTTAGTGTAGATGGTTTTTCATCTGTTTCAGCTATATTCTCCACTTTATTTTTCTCCTGCATTGATCTTTCTTCAAGTGTGGCAAAGGAATAACTGAAGAGCGGTATGCAAGCATCCAAGCATTTTACAGAGCACACAATAGATGCTGTCTAGTTATTGTCCGTGCTGACATGATTTTCCTGCATTACCAGATCCTAACACCAACAGAGAAGTCTTATGTATTGACTGCCTTTTGGTAAGGGAAATGCAGACTTTTCCAGGGATATTCTTATGGCTTAAAATAGTGTAATGGACTGCACTGGATGTTGCCTCCTTTTTCACCTTCAAGCAGATGTAGAAAGGCTGTGATTGTTTCCTGGAGACTTGTTGATCCCAGTCCAGTAATGCAGTTCTGGATTTTAAAACACTGTCTGATCCCATCACATACCCATTGCTGACAATCACTGGCTCTAAAAAATGAGACTGATTGATCAATCAATTGATCTAGTTCTCTATTCATTTACTCACCTTTCCCTGTCTCTGTCATTTCTTAATTGAAGTGAAATTCCTATTAGTGTAATAAAAAAGATAAATATGTTATCAGGTTATCTGGGCTTGTACTCAGCTAATAACTTTGTTGCCCAAGGATTTTATCCTTGCCTATTACTAACTTGCTATGAATGCCTGAAGAAAAAAATGCTATATGCAATTTTAGAATGGCAAAAAAGTAAAATAAAATAAAATAAAATAAACCAAAACAAAATAAAATAAAATAAAATAAACAAACAAAAACCACAAGTGTCCTGCTTCCTTTGCACAGAAGTTGCCTGACAAACAAAAAATGCTGTTTGAATTTAAGTCAATTAGTTACTACTGGGTTTTTCCCCTTACTTTCTGTTTGATATGTTATTTCCCCCACCTCCACCACTATATCCTGGCCAAAGGAATGGTGACAGTGGATTTCAAACAGTTACAACATCACACAAGAAAGGAGTGAACCTCACTTACAGTGACCAACTTGCATCTAAATTCTAGTGTTAGCACAGATTGTAGCATATCAGATTTATCAAATGTAAACAACAGATTTATGATATAAACAGCAGACTGGTGTAATAGGAAGCATTGTATTACTCCACTGAAAAGCAGTGAACCATTTTTATATGCATGCTCCGAGGGAGGAATTTTTGTGCTTTCTTGTATTAAAGAGGACTGGTATCTATAGTTCCGCAGCAAATCTTACAGAGATGACATTCTTTTTTATTTCTGCCCCATATTGTATGAGTGACTATAAAGATTTGCAAAAGCATATCGTGGACATAGGTACCAAAATCCCACTGACTCCAGGCAATCATTTACTGTAGTAAATGGGATTCATTCTTAAATCACGTCTGAAATGTCAAAATGTCATACATATCTCTTCTTGCTTTTTTTCTTTAAAAAAAAAAAAAATCCTTACTCATGATAGTTCTATCTCCTTCCCCCCATTCTTTTTTACTTTTAATATATTTCATTTGAGGAGAGAATTGTCTCTAAGTACAGGTTGTATGTATAAACAGAGTCTACTTAGAGACACATGGCACGTTGTGAGCTGTGTGTTGACTGGACAGGTGTGAATTTAGTGGGGGAGAAGGGAATAGCACTAAGAGGTGAAAACTGCTCTTTTACACTTCCCTTCTTTAGCACCAGCTAGTGCTGTTTATGCACTTGTATTTTATATCTAAATCCAGCACTATATTAAACAAGAATTAGCTCTAATTGGAAACTTTAGTAGTTACATTAGCGTGATGGTGGCCAATTAATTAGATGAGGCCACAGTAACACTATTGTGCAATTTCTACTTTGAAGGTAGTGGATTGCCTACCAGCTTGAGCACAAATGAGGTAAACACCTTATTAACCTCTCCATCTAAGGAGAGATACCTGGCATATGGATTAACTTTAAGGTAGTCCTGTGTGGAGTCATGAGTTGGACTCAATGATCCTTGTGCCTCCTAACCCATCTAACCTTGTCCCTTCTAACCCAGAATATTCTGTGATTCTATGCTCTTGGATTGTTGTTCTAGATGCAACATAATGCAAACAAACCACTGTTGTATAAAGCTGAGATTTTATTATTATTATTTTTAATAGAAGTGGAATGTATTGTTTCCTTCTATTATTTTCCATTTCTGTGAAAGCTTGATCTTGGTCCAGTGATTACATGTAGCAGCTTGGTACTGGAGGCTTTTTAGGGAAGGTCATTGATAATATGCAGTTAATAACATGCAGTTAATAATATGCAGTTTTTCCTGATGAAGTCACAGAAACCACTGTTTAATGAATTATGTAAAAAGAACAGAGTTCCCTTCTCACAGCTACTATATTAATAATTACTGTAATAAAACAAATTTGAGCTGATAAAACAAATTGACCTCCATGCAAAACTAGCCAGGTACTGAAGGAAATTCCATAAAGAGGAATCATATTGATTATACAGTTTATACAAATCTTCCTTTTACTAATACTGCACTTTTTTTTTCTTTTTTTTTTTTTTCTGGATTGCAATGAAATAAGTGTGCCATTTGACAAAGCAAAAATAATTTGTCCTTCAAAGAAAGGAAAACCATTTTCAGAAAGGCCATTTCTGCCAAAAGGGAGTATTTCCATTGCAGTAGAGGAAATCAAAACATGGACATACGGTTTCCACCATTCTCTCGTTCGGTGTCATAGGGGAAGTAGGATAAAATGATGGGAGAGAAACTGCTGTCCTCCAAATTTCCCCATAAGAATGTATGAGCTCATAATGGAAAACCAGACTGTCATCAAAAGATATTTTCACAATCTCTGTGTTTTAATATTTAAAAATTCCATTCTGATGGATCATAGCAAACTATCTTATCATGGAAGTTCCACACAGATGTGTCTGTACTCCGTAATCAGTATCTAGGATTCTTAACATAAAGCTTGGGTACTGCGTTATTCTGTTTGTCCCATAACAGTAGCTAAGCAAAGGCAGTCATGTGGGCTGAAGGTGTACTTGTTTATGTGTACTTGTTTATGATTGATCATTAACTATTCATGCTTCAGTACTGAGCAGACATTTAAAGACTGCCACCAGATTGGGCAGAGGTTCAAGCTAAGCAGTAGTGACATTTCAGTCAAAGAAGAAAAGACATAATACATGGCTGATACAACCAAACAGGCAAGTTAATAATGGGTTGAGAAGAAACTAGGCAACAGGTATGTAAAGTTATTTGTGCACATATTTATCTGCTCGGTGACTGAACCCCGCTCTCACGTATTCCTGATCATTGCTGGCATACTGTTGTGTGTTATCTCAAGTGAGTTTTGGAAATGGTCTTAAATAGGAACAGCATTGCCTAACCTTGATTGAGCTTGGGGTCATTCTCATTTGTGGAAGGAAAGCTGCCTGAAGCGCTTCATGGAGGCTGCAAGTAGGCTGAGTCTATCAGGGGAAATGTGCATCACTGTTCACCCCTCAGTCCTGGTTCCTGGATGCTGATGCACAAAGTATGCTCTGTGGGGCATCCTGTAGTCTTGGTCTGCTGAATGTCCACACTGGAGGTGTAAAAGCACTCTGTGGCTTCCTCCCTGCCCTTGTAACAGGTTTTCCTCTGGAAGGAGAAGCAGATGAATGGGAATATGGTGCATAGCCCAGTCTCCTTCTGACAAGTATTTCAAGGGTAGTCAGGAGGACAAGTTTGTTACCTGGAACAGTTTAAGTGCCCTTCATTTGCCTGTGCCACAGCTGTTTCTGCCACATCTTTGTCAACTTGCATTCTCAGACTTCCATTTTGTCTTTCTGAACAGCTGAACCAATAACAGCAGAAGTGGTGGTGTCTGTATGGCTCACCTTTGGCTGTTAAGATAGGAGCAGGAAGATAAACAGTATATGGGAATGGAGGGCCCAAAACTGGCTGAGAAGACATTTGTCACCAATGCTCATTTAAGAAGGAAGACAAGGATCAGACAGATTAATAACCTGGGAATTACAAAGAGATGAACTATAAAAGGATTGAAAATCTGAGACACTGGTAACAAGGATCATGGGGTAGAAGCAGACCATCAGCCTATACCTGGTTCAGCACTGCCCCAAGTAAGTCCACTGGGATCATGATCTCTGCCTAGGCCTGACTGAGCATCCTCCCCTTCAGGCACTGTGAGCAGCCAGCATGCCAGCTACTGGAGTGATGGTATAAGGTGTAACACATAGGGACAAACATTTTGAATAAGCTTGTGTGAAATTATGAGGTGCTTTCTCACCAGCATGTGCCTTAGCAGACTGTAGGAAGCAGCACAGAGCTGGAGCACCCAGGTGGTAAGGAGGTGGACTCCCAAAGATGGTATGTGTTTGTAACCCACACTTCCTTCCAATGTGTGTGTGTGTGACCTTGTGTATGTGTGTGGGGGGGGGAATTAGAGCTTTTTGAGATAAGTTACAGAAGGGTGGAGATGTATAGGTATTAATTAACATTTTGGAAACGTCTAGTACTCTGACTTACCTGTTGTATTATTGATATGATCTTGAATGCATCGTTCATTGGTTGCTGGTCAATTCCATGCCATGCATAAACCAATAAACTACTTTGATCCACATTCAGCATAACTTATGGGAATGGAACAGTTTTTCTCCATAACAGAGCCATCATTTCACGCCTGACTGAGAAAGTGGTAGTTGCAGCCTGCAGCCTTCTCACTCTGCTCTTTGCTCTGGCTGTGATCTCTAGCAAAGGAGAGTGTGGGGCTGACTTGAGTAACAGGTTAGATATACTGTGCTCAGCAGGGAAGTTGTTAGGCCCTTCTGAGTGCCATTGCAAGGCTTTTGTTACGTGCTTTGTCAGATGGGAGGGAGTTAAAGCTCAGCTGCCAAGGGTGTATGTGATCTCTCTCAAGCAGGGCTTCTTTGAAGAGGATGGCTAAAGAGAGGAAGGGGTTCCACCTGCAATACTGCACATTTGTGTAAGGCCTTCAGCACAGGTAAAGAGTCCTGAAAGTACCCTCCTCCAAATAAGAGCCTGCCACCCCCTCTGCTATTGTGCTTCCCAAATGCGCGACAATGAATAGGAACTTCATGCCCTGGGAACTGCTGGGTTTATAAATTTGTCTCACTGCTAATTTGCGTTGGGCTGTGCGAATACTGCTGTCCCTAGAAAGTACACAGGCTAGAGCTCTGTCTCCTTATGAATTCTTAAAGTATGTCAAGTTGAATTTGAAAGCATTTTTGTGCTTTCATAAGGAATGTATTTCTTCTTACTTATAACTTGTTAGTCTTATTATTCAGGTTTGGAATAGGGCTAGAAGAGCAAGTCAGTTTTGTTCTGCCTGACAAAGAAAGTGAATCATTTTCTATAACAAAACAACAACAACAACAACAACAACAACAACAACAACAAAACACCTTTTTTCCTCATTTTCAAAGCGTATGCTATATATGGGGCTTTTCTTATGGTTTAGTACAGGTCAAAAAAGAACACCAATTTGTAAACCAAAAAAATAGGTTTTAGTTAAAAGCTGCCAACATAAAATAATGTGGCAATTTCAGGTTTTTATCTCCCAGACAGTACTATCTGTTTATATTTTCGTTGAGCTAAGTCTCAATTTTTAGAATAAATGCAATTCTAAAACATTTAAAATTATAAAAAAAATAAATTTATAAAATTTTAAAATTCTAAAATAAAATTTTAAAATTTTAAAAAATTAAAAAAGCTTTTTTCCTTAGCTCTACTTCTGACTGATGTGGTAGTTGGGATTTTAATTCAAGCAATTATCTCTTTAGTGCTTACCAGGTAGAAATAGATTTAGTTTATTTAACTTTCTCTTTCTGTCTTCATAATATATTTCCCATCAGATAGTTTTGGAAGTTTACTTAGTCTGTATTTACTCTTCCCCAGATGATGAGATGAGAGAGACAGAAAATCGAACAGGAAAGGAAATGCCTCTGGCATCCCATAAAGGTCACTGTAACAATCTCATAATCTCATTTCCTCTTTAAAGTTTACCTGGGAGTCCCAATTTTTTTTTTTTTTTTTTTTTTTTTTGCCTTAGCTCTGCCACTATGTAAAAAAGGAACTCAAGTCCCGTGTTGCAATTCTGTGGTATTGCGGTGAAATGGAGCATCCCTTTCCTTTCAGAGTTTACAAGTATTTATAAGGGAGCCAGCACTTTGCTTCCTTCAGATCACAAAACCAACCTGCCTGACAACTTCAACTAACAGGCGCGGGAAAAGGTAAGAATTCCTTTCTTCTCTAACACTGGGGCAGCACAAGCCTGACTCCAGCAGACTTCAGATGAAACTAAAGAAAACTTAAGTGTATTTAAATACTTGTCATGATGTTTTTCTCAGAACAGTACTTAAATGTGCCTGAAGTTAAATGCATATTGTATATATGTACACAGCTAATAGAATTATTATCTAAGAGAATAGCTAATGTTATAAATTAATGATCGTTTCTATGTTACCAGTATTCATTAACAGAGTGTGTTTATAGATAGATATATACTTATGATTAGGCTGTTCTCTGTTTTAAAAAAATGCAACACAATTGGCTTGGCCCTGCCTTGAGCTGGGACTGATTCAGGGGACATGAATTACTTTCTGACATATATTACTCTGCAATTCTCAGTGAAGGAATCTGTGCTGATTTATAGCACCTCGTGCTCTGGATCACAGGGAGCACATGATATTGGTACACTGTCCTCAGCTATGAAGTCCTCAGGCAACTGCACTGATTACTGATGTTCAGAAACCGAGTTTATTTCTGATTAATTTTTCAACAAAATTGTGAGTTGCGGGGGAAGATAATTTTAGGTGGAAGTTAACATTTTTAATCAGAAACGTGAATTGTGAAGCTTCTTCTTAAAGTCAGACAGATTTTTTTTATCTATTAGTTGGTATTGAAAAGAAAGCCTTTTTATCCCCTTCTCCTCCCTCTAAGTTTTTAATTGATATTTCAGTTACTGGTTTTATGAAGCATAGTGATGAATGTGGCATGTGGCAGTGAAAGAAATCAACATCTTTCAGAAAGATGCAAAAGGTATTTTTCTTTCAAAAATCACAGATAAACCTGCTTACGCTTAGTAGAAAAGCAGGTGCCAAGAATGTTTACCTTCTAATGAAGCAATATACTGCTGACAGACTGCCTGACAGTAGCTGGCTTTTGACCAAGGCTTCTGCCTCTCTCTGAGTTCAGATGCAATGCAAGCTGGTTCCTCTCTTGGATA